CTCTCTCTCTCTCTCTCTCTCTCTCTCTCTCTCTCTCTCTCTCTCTCTCTCTCTCGTTCTCGGTCTTGCGCGCAATTGCAATTACCGAGATCCCATCCGGCGCCGCGCGCATCGTGACGAAAGCGACGATAACGGGGATAACGGGGAAACGGTAGCGAGGACGGCGATCCCGCGGACACCGGTAGTGTGTACCAGTGAATAGAAACAAACAGGTGACACGATAAAGCGTGATTCGGCAGCAGAAGTCAGTCGCTAAGCGCACATTCCCAAGTCGCGCGCTCTCTTTCGCGTCGCCAAACACGGCGGCGTAGCCGAAGCGGGCGATATCAGCTCGCAGGGATCGATATCGCGCCTAGATGAGTCTACGTCTATCCATCTATGGCCGGTATTCATCGGCTACGAGATCCGTGCAGACGCTGCAAACGCTTCGAGGCGCGCTTAAAGAAAAGCGACGATCAGTCCGTGCGGCGCTTCAAAACATTTTAAGCATCCAATTGGATCGTATCCACACAGTTGGATCTCATATTCAAGATCTTCTCTCGAGCTCGTCTTCAGACGCCGCACGGATCGTTTCGTGGGCCGTCGAGTATCTGAGGATAAACCCGAAACGATCTTAAATACAAAATCCGATTATGAATACCGCCCTGTACGTCCATCAATCTATCTATCTATCTATATCCATCCATCCATCCATGTATCTATCTAAATCTATAACGATAAAATCTTCATCTCGCGATACACATAAGACAGGAGAAAGCAGAAGTACGGAGGGGGCGGAAATCCCAAGCGTCGAGATGCGATCTTGGCTTTCTTTCGGAAAATGCAGCACTTTCCAAATAACGAATTTTTTCTTTCAGTTGTTTCAAGTACATATGGAATTTCAAAAATAGATTGAGGGTAAAAGCACTAAGTTCCGGACGCGCAACTAATTCTGGACATTTTTATTTGTTTGGTCCTTTTAAATGAGAATATTTAAACTTTCAACACAGATTATGTATACGAGTGTCCCAGATTCGTCCTCGCAACTTTCGTCGGAATGTAGAACAGATTGAGGTGAACATAAAAGTTCTATACCGTTTTGCGATTTTCGCAATAAATCTCGAGATATTAATTAAGGAAGATTGGTGAAGAAGATGGTGAATGATCACGCGCGATATGATAAATGAATTGTAGCGGCGATGTATGCCGTCGTGTATTTGTACATTATGTCAAATTGAACAAAAAGGTCCTTTATTACTTTGCAGATAATCACGTAGATTTTTATTCATTAATGAGAGAAAATTGTTACATACTGCACGCGATAACACGCAAATCTTCTTTAACATCTAAAAATCTATATGGCCATTTGCAAAGTGGTAGAGAACTTTTTTGTTCAGTTTGATCTAATGTGTACCAACAGCAGACGGAGCCGCTATAACTCACCTACCATATCGCGTTTCGCATCATTCACCAATCATTTTTAATTAATATTTATTGTAAATATCGCATAGTATGGAACATAAGTCCTCTCGACGGACTTTTACGTTCATCTCAATTTCACGTTCCCGCAAATGTCGCAGAGACGAATCTGGAACACTCTGTATATTCAACATGTATACATATATTTTATGTTGGAAATTTAAGCAATATCCGTATTTCCGAGACCGAAACAATAAGAATGTTCGAGTAGATGCTTCGCCGGACACAGATACTTTTACCTTAATTCCTGAGAGACAGAAATAAAAAAAAAAAAGGAACAATTAGGCGTTTATTTTTGAAGATCGACAACAATATCTCGCGTTACCACCTCCTCCCATGAGCCCATAAAGATTGAGGAAGCTTGGCAAAGACTTGATCGGCTCTTCGTCTCCCTTCTGAAACCCGTGTTTAGGCGAGAAAAGTTGTTCGCGCGAATATCAATACTTGTATGCAAACGCGGTTTCGCAACGGTGACGGAGAGACTCACGTCGCCGATGAGCCGATCGAGCGCGCTCGGTAGACTCGGCGAGCTTTCGGGTATTCGAGGGATCGAATTAACGTCAACGGTGACAGACATTCCACCTCGGCTACGACGCCGATTTCACCCGTCGCCAGACTCCACGGTACAACGAGCGGCGACATTAAGAACGTCGACGACATCGCGCGAGTCTCACGAAGACCGTCTCGCGGGAGCGACTTTCGTCAAGGACGTAATATCCATCTTCGTGTTTTTTCCCCTTTCTCCCCCACGGGGTCGATAAGCGTTGTTCTCGTTGCCGTCGTCGTCGTCGTCGTCGTCGTCGTCGTCGTCGTCGTCGTTGCCGCCGCTCGCAGCCGGCGTCTGGGATACGCGCGAAAGAGACGGCAAGCGTGTGATGGACAACGTGAAATACGACAGAGATGCAGCGTAAGCAAGAGATGGAGGAACAAAAGAGAAGAAGCCCAAGCGCATTCGCATAGTCGCACGTTACCGTACACTGTGTGTATCCACGCGGCACCACCGAAAAGAGGGCGGCCGTCGAAGGAAAGTGGCGAGTTTTCCGGGTCACGTTCGCCGGCTGTCGTTCGTCGTCGTTATCACAAGTCGTGGTAGTCATTGTCGCGCTAGTCGCCATTATCATCATCACCATCGTCGTCGTCGTCATTATCGTCATTGCGAGTCTCGCGCACTTTCGACGGCCGCCCCCCTCTCCCCGTGGACACGAGAATGACTATACATCGTCTATTCGCCGGGCTGTTATACCTATTGCGCAAAACGGGAAAAAGAGCCTGACCCATGAATGAATGGCTGAAACGAGTGGATGAGATTCTGAAAGAAAAGAACATCAATTCATTTCCTTAGAGGTACCGTCCACTTCCCTCGATCCCTCTCTCGTTTTCTCTCCCTCGCACGCACGCACGCACGCACGCACGCACACGCGGTCGATTCGCACAGCGATGTCAGTTAACACCGAGTCTGGTTAGCCAAACTTTATCCCTCTATCCGATATAGCGCGGAGGTGTCCTTGAAACTTGTCGTGGGATCCGTAGAAAGGCAAGACGCAAGGGTGAGAAGCGACTAGTGATCTCGATCCTCGGGAGAGTAAGCGAGACGACGCGTAGCACCCCGACGTGGGTGCGAGGCGAGCAGACGTACGCGATTCTTCTGCAATCGTTTCGACAATGACATTGAACGCGACTCCGCGTGTCGGTTTACTGGCTAGGGTCTCGGGGTACTCCTTATAGTACCGATAAGTCGCGGGCGAGAGAGACTATAAGCTTATCGCCGACTCTACTCCGCTGCCTCCCGCGATCTAGAGCCGGCGAGTTTCGCTAACTGGAAGTTACCAGTTTAACGACTCGGAACTATAGAACCGGTCACGTCGATAGCCATGGTTAAATAACTCTGGTTAGCGATACACCGTCGCGACTAAGTGACACAACTGACGGACGAAATCGTTGACTCGCGATCGATGCTAAGCGAGGTTGCCGGCTGCTTGCCTTTCAATTCGTAATGGTGGGCCGCGCGCGATCGATCTTCACTCGAATGATCACGGTTCATCAGGTGGATTATCGCGGGCATAAATTGGACGAGTTCTTGGAGTGAAGATGAGAAAGAGAAAGAGAGAGACAGAAAGAGAGAGGGAGAGAAAGAGAGAGAGAGAGAGAGAGAGAGAGAGAGAAAGAGAGAGTGAGTAAGAGAAAGAGGAACAGACGCGTCCTTCAAACTACAAAAAAAAGAAAAAGAAAAAGCAACAGGGGCAACGTCGAATATGGGGCGAATGACGGGGCGCGAGAATTTGGATCTTCACGTCGTGCGTTATTGTTTCCCTCACGACGCCGTCGCATTGAAAATAGCGAAAGCGACGAAGCTTTCTACTCGGACACGCGAACGTACACTGTCGTAGACGGAGACAATATTGTAGTGAAAATTACGTTAAAATTATATCTCTTTTCACAATTTTCTTTAGTAAAGCTGGACTGCACCGGCACTGTGCGATATGAAATATTCTCTAAATTTCTTGGAGCGCAATTTCACTCCAATAGCGGAGTGACCACCGAGTCACTCGAATGATTTGTCCCTCACTCAGAGTGGATTCCCCACTCCAAGATGTCGAGTGAATATTTTCACTTGAAATTGAGAAGTGAATTCGGTGCAGTCCACCGTCACATTCACCCTGATGGATCGAAATATTCACCCACACGGAGTCAGAATCGACTCCAAGTGACGCGCATTCATTCTCGCGATTTCGAGTAACAGTATTTTCGCTCTTTATCGTTTCGGGTACAAGTACCGCCATTCTTCGTTCGTTTTCGAGTGAGATGCTACTCCAAGAAAGTCAAAAGGTGCTACAGTAAATCTGTGACGTTCTGTGAAACGAAACGTGAATCGCAAGAATTTTGCGACGAAAAGTCAAACATGCGTAACTTTTTCAGCAGACGTATACAGTATAATTTCGGTCACAACTCAGCTGTATGGCTGACAATTGCAGCGATTTTGCTGTAAATTTCACGACAACGTTCCCTCCGTATACACATTCCTCCGCGCGGCGCTACGAGAGCGACAGATAAAGACAAACTCACCGGCTGATCGTCCTCGAGACTTGACGCTCCCGCTACCCTGAGCGTTACAGCCCTGGGTGTTGCACGGTTGGCCGCCTATGAGGGATATGTCGAGCGGATTGGTGGTCACGTTGATGTTGGGCCTCTTTTGACTCCGCTTGAGATCGGAGACTCCCTTGTCGTTCCCTTGATTCACGCTGGCCCCTTTGCCGACGTTGGTGTAATCTATCTGATATCCCACTCGGGCGTTCTGCTTGTCTTGCGCGGCCACCAGGTTGCGAATCGACGTGCGCGGGTCGCCCGCCGAATCGGGCTGGCCCGCATCCACGGAGCCTCTCACGGGGGTGCTAAACGCAAAGCAAGTGCAGGTCTCTACGCTTTCGCCGTGATTACACGAGAGAGGCGGCGAGCGATGTATTTACGGTCGAGCCGAAAACACACCCTCCGACTACACGTTCCCCGAGATCTAGGGCGAAATTTAGCGAAAGGCTCGATTCGGAAATTGCTCCAAAGTACATTCAGCGGACCCATCCGGGGCAGGGAAAGAGAAAGGAAAAGGATAGCGGCGAGGCGTATCTAAATTCCTTTAAGAAACCCTGATGTTGCGCGAAGCGGAAAAGGAGCGGTGATCTTTAATCTGGAATCGCGAGCTGGCGGCAATGAATAAACCGAAGGACTACACGGCGAAAATATTGTAGTAAAAATTGCAACCAAATTTTCTAATCTTACACCGCACAAAAATTATGACAGGAAATGTTATACATTTGTTTAAAAATGTTATGCACACGTTCGACACATATCACCGCTCGATCTTGTTCGCGAACTTGGAGAATTCTCCTCCCGCTTGCTCAAGATAATAAATAAATATTAAGTGTCGAATTATCTCACAATGCTCGCACGACTCTCCCGGAATTTTCGACGTCACTTTTGTCACGTTATAATCATATCAAGCTGCGCATCTCTCGCACGTCTCGAGTCGGTTCGATATGGTGCAGAGCATCGTCCCGGCACGCATTCGTCTTGCACATAAGACCTCTACGTCTCACAGTCGTCTTTTGCCTCTCCCGCTCAATCACGGAATCACCCTCAGAGTCGAAAGCGCCATTCGAGAAAAACAATAAATTACCTGGCTTATCGTGCGAACTCACCTGAAGAAGTCCGCCGCTCGTAGATCCGGTAGAGGCGGCGTCCTGCCGCTGCCGAAGGTGAACCGCGTGTCCTGGTGCGCGCCGATCATCGGCGTGGGTGGCGGCACGACGGCGCCCTCCGTGCTGTTGCTCGCGCCGTGAGCGCTCGACGAGGAGCCGGTGATCATCTTAGAACCGCCGTCCGGCTGAGTCGAGTCGAGTCTCAAACGGGAGCAGCGGGTCGTCGACGGCCCCGCCTCGGTGCCGTTGAAGGTGCACATCGGCGAGGAGGGCGACGACGGCACCAACGGCGGCGGCGGCGGCGGCGGTGTCTGTCGGCTCACCGGTGCCGCGACGGAGATCGGCGAGGTCGGCGACACCGGCGACGAGGAACGGCTGACCGCGGCGTCGTCCGGGTGTCGGTGACCGGCGTGGATGGACGGTTGCGACGGAGCCGTAGCGGGAGGCGACATCTCGGCCGGCACGTCGATCAAGTCGAAACTGTCGTCCGGCTGCTCCCCGTCCGTCGTCGTCACCTGAGGAACGGAATGGCAGGCGAGTAGAAAATTTGCCAGTTTCTAGCTAGTAACTGATCAAGTTAGTCAGATTCTTAAGGCTCCTGGGGATTCGCAATATCCATAACGTCATTTTTAATAACGTCAGAAGCGAGAAAACGTATGCTAAAAATTCCTGCAAAGTACATCGAGATAAACAGATATGTCCACAAAACGACATTTGCGACCGATTAAGTATACACTGAGAGAAGAATTTAGTAAATATTATCAAAATTTAGTTACTATTACTAAATGATAAACGTAAATATAGCGGGCCAAAGCTATGGCAATACTTATTAATTAATTTAGTTCTGTAAAATAAATTATTTATTTGACAGAAGTAAAATTTATTTGCTTCCAGAATATATTTGGTAAATAAAACTTATTGAATAATTGAGCAAAATAAGCGATTTTGTAATAGTTACAAAATTTTTGATAGATTCAACCAACTATCTGTAATAATAGATATTGAAACGATGTAATAGCTGCAAATGAATGAATTTTTCGTTGTGCTGCAACAAAACATACTTATACTGGTAACAAAATAGAACTCGTACCTACTGAATTTTTTATTATATGGGATATAACGATTTCATAACAATTATCAAATATCTGTTCATAACTGTAATATATTTCATATTAAATATTTAACATTAAGTAACTATTACTAAATTATTTAATTGATGTTACTGTGAATGCAATTACGTCATACTCCCGATCTATTAAATATTTGGTAATTATTGTCATATTTAGTATTAGTTACTAAGGATTCAATGAATTTCTGTAACTAAATGCAGTTTGTTATAGTTACCAGTCTTTTCTCTCAGTGCACCTCTAAGATACTCCGTATACTTTCCTTTTATTATAACAATCAACAGATAGTTATAAAATAAATGTGACGTGCAATCGTCTTTTCTAATCTAATTTCTTCATTATCTCGTCATATTAATTTTCCGATTATCTATTAATTTTTAGAACAAAAGGAAAGTGTACGGAGTATTTTAGAGGTGTATTTAATCGATCGCAAATGTCGTTTTGTAAATATATCTGTTTATCTCGACGTATTTTGCAAGAATTTTTAGCATGTGTTTTCTCGCTTCTGACGTCATTAAAAAGAGATGGATGATGCGATTCTCCAGGAACCTTAAAGCCTGTATTACCCGTGTGAAAATTCTTACTCGAAGTAGCCTAAATGCGAGCCAGCTTACCTACATCGTAAAAACTGATGTGTTAAATTTAACAAAAATTATTTAATTACAATAAAAAGCTCTAAAATCAAAATTATGTTCAAAAAGGGCCTATGAGAGCCAGATGCAAGAAAGAAGTGCACAAATTTATTTGAATTACAAAGTTACGTATTACGTATCTAAATTCCTTTAAGAAACCTTGATGTTGCGCGAAACGCAAAAGGAGCGGTGATCTTTAATCTGGAATCGCGAACTGGCGGCAATGAATAAACTGAAGGACTACACGGCGAAAATATTGTAGTAAAAATTGCAACCAAATTTTCTAATCTTGCACCGTACAAAAATTATGACAGGAAAATGTTATTAAGTCGTAAAACGCATCAACAACAAACGTTTCGATCTTTCATTGGATCCTTTTCAATGTATTACAACGAAGTTACTATGGTGATAGACACATTTAATTATTTCGATACGCACATACATAGTGATTTTTTAGTGATTGCTTGAGAGCCCGTGCAGCAGACTTTCCTTTCTTCACTAAAATCCCTATGTATGTGCGTAATAATTAAATGCGTCTATCACCGTAGTAATACATTAAAAAAGATCCAATGAAGGATCGAAACGTTTGCTGATGCGTTTTACGACTTAATAACATTTTTAATATAATACGTAACTTTGTAATTAAAATAAATTTGTGCACTTCTTGTACCTAAACCTCACAGGCCCTTTTTGAACATAATTTAAATTTAACACATTTCATGTGTCCCAAATCGTCCACTCTCATTTATATGTAAATTTAACACAAAACAAATGTGTTAAAAAGTAACACGCATAATATGGAAAAAATTAATACAAGAATTTAACACTTGAATACCGTTAGGAATCACAGGTTGTGTTAAATTGACATATTTAATATGTTAGACATAGATTATGTCAATTTAACATTTTCATTTCATCAAAAGCATAGATTAATATTTCTCTCAAATGTTAAATATTAAAGTTTAATTTTAGTTAATTTACATTATACATATGTCATTTTAACATAAACTGTGATTTCTGACGGTATTTAAGTGTTAAATTCTTGTGTTAATTTTTTACATATTATGCGTGTTACTTTTTACCACATTTGTTTTGTGTTAAAGTTACACATAAACGAGAGTGGATGATCTGGGACACATGAAATGTTAAATTTAACACATCAGTTTTTATAGTGTAGGTATTATCTAGAGCCTATTTTGTAAATCTAGTCAGCACCTAGCACTATGTGTGCTAGGTGCTGACTAGGTTTACAAAAGTTTCATAAGCTTCATAAGTTTCATAAGTTTCATAGGTTTACAAAGGTTTCATAAGGTGGTAACCTTATGAAATCTAGGCCTTAGAGATATAAAACTATCCGGGCACTAGATAGGGTTAGGAATTGACAGTTACCATTCAGTTACCATTTTTCTTCGGTTAGGTTCTGACCAGTAACTGGTCAAGAAACATTGGCCAATGTTTCCAGGCCAGTTTCTGAACACCTAATAAATCCTAGTCAGTAAACACTGGCCAGTTTTTGACTAACTTCTCTCGGAAAATTATCCATTCGAGGGGTTATGGGAGTCTCTCGTTTTCTGCTTGATTCGCGCTCAAAGACTCGCAGAAGCGTAGGCGTCTCGGCGAACTAGATGTTGGCCGAGGGGACGTGAGAATAAACGACTACGAGAGAAAGAGGACTTTGTACAAGGGACAGGCGTATTTGTTAACGCGTTAAAAATTAATTCCGAGCCTCACAGCCGAGCAAGAAAGGGTCTATATGACGAGGCTCGTACATTGCCTTTGTGTCTAACTGCTGAAGTCTGAAATATGGATAGGGAACACGCAAAGGCGCTCATTAAATTCCAACGTGAGCAGCAGGCTCTCCTTGTGGATTCTTCGAGTAGCGCAAGTTCCTCCGGCAATGTATCGAAGCTCGCCAACTTTGCCCGTTCTTTGATGCGTTATCATGACTTTATCAATTATCAATTATTGCCTGACGCAACGTTTACCGCCATGACGTTTACGAGCTTGTGCAGGCATCGGCGTTACATGGTGGACGTTTAAATTTAGCACTATCCTTGCAAAAACACGCGGTGTAGTTCAGTGTTAATGTCAATATTGATAATCAATAATAACCGAGATCAATTAAATACCGAAATAATGATGTTTCCCGACTTCCCGTTGTGTACATCGCCATTCGAGTCTCGTAATTGGTTTTACAACGGCGCACGATGACGGTTAATAATGTAACACACGTATTTAGCGAGTCCTCGTCGGTTCCGTATCAATAGTAGCTCTCGCGAATAAAATTTTATTATTTTTCTTTCTCATTACATTTTATATTTCATTGTGCTCTCTGTGCAATTATTTTTAACTCGATAACACGCACGTCAGCATGATGGGGTCTTCAAGCGTAATTTCAGCTTCGACTGCAATTTCAATTTTACTTTTTAATCAGCCGCTTCGCACATTGCCGTTGGCTCGCTTGTGGCCGAACTTTCTGTGTATTTTGCAACATTTACATTGCCGTGTACATCGCCTGCCTGTCCACTCGGCGCGGGGCTGGTTCGAAATTTGAAAATAACCGCGAGCGCGCTGCTCGAAAATCGGGCTTGAAAATGATCGTAACCCCGAGTAGAAATTTATCCAGTTTCTGACCAGTGACTGTCCAGGGCCTCTATTCTTGGATTTTTTGCGTATGCGTAATTTTCATTGCGCAGCTTATACAGCTATTTTATGGTATGATTAAACCTGCGCAGTAAAACTTATGTATACGCAACTATTTCAAGAATAAGGGCCCAGGAATTTTTGATGACTAGCTAGTTTTTGGTCAGTTTTCTTGGCTAGAAACTGACTGGTTTGATCGACGCTCACTTCGTCAAGAAATGGACAGTTCAACTAGATAGTTTCAAATCAGTTTTTAACTAGATTTTGATCAGTATCTAATCTGTTTATTAGCAATTTCTAAGCAGTTTTTTTTATTAATTTCTATGTAATTTTTTACTATTTTATAAGCATTTTTTTGTCGGTTTTTGATCAGTATCTATTTTTTTCAGTTTGTTAATAGTTATAAATAATTTAACTATATATGTATCGAAACAATAATTCTATTAAAATTAAATTTTTATAATTTTTATTTTTTTTATTTTTTCTCATCTTTAATATAATATTTTATTTTATTTTGACCAGGAACTATCTCAAAAAAATACGTCAGTAATTTCAAATTTTTTGCAGAAAATGCACAGCATTTCCTTACCATTTTTCTTGTAGAGTTTCTAACAAGTAACTGGCCCAAAAATACTGAACAGTATTTTCAGAGTTTTTACTGGGCAGAAACTATCCAATATTTACTTACTATTTTTTCAAGCCTAGTTTCTGACTAGCAATTGGCCATGAAAGAATAGCCAGTATTTTTTGCCAAATTTCAAAACAGTAACTGTCTAATTAATCCTAGCTAATAAAAACTGTCTAGCCAGTAATCAGTTTTTTCCCTGAGAAAAAATGTTCATAAAAACTGGTAAAAAACTGCTTAGAAACTGCTGATCAGAAACCGACAAAAAAATGCTCATAAAATAGTTAAAAACTACATAGAAACTAGTGAAAAACTGCTTAGAAACTGCTAATAAACAGGTTAGATACTGATCCAAATCTAGTTAAAAACTGATCTGAAACTATCTAGTTGAACTGTCAAGTGTTTTGACGAGGTGAGCGTCGACCAGTCAGTTTCTAGCCAAGAAAACTGACTAAAAACTAGCCAGTTGCCAAAAATTTCTGGACAGTTACTGGTCAGAAACTAGATAAATTTCTACTCTGGTACCTACCATGGTGAGCATCGTGTTGGCGCTGTCGGTGCTCGTGTTGATCGTGGTCTCGGACGCCGTGCTGGAGCCCATGACCACGACTTTCGGCACTGTGCGACAGCTACGACTGCCGCCAGCCGATTTGAAATTGAACCGCCGGATCGCGGACGACAGCAGGTCGCCGTCCCGCGCGCCGCCGTCAGCTCCATGCTGCTGCTGCTGCTGTTGCCCCCGCGATGGCTGCGACTGCGATGTATCCCCCGTGTCACACGCGCTACTCCCCAAACTGCCGCATCTGTTCGCCGACTCGCGACCTCTCGAGCATCCCTGCGAACACAGCGGTGCGGATCGCGACGGTGTACTCTTGGCAATGACAGCGAAAAGCAGTTTTCGAGCTAAGTTCGAGTCGCCCGCTGAAATTCGGCTGGTGCTGCTCGTTAAGTTACTTGATCGGCCGCGCCGTACTGTCACGTTTTTGAATCTGTACAGTACGATCTGTCAGGGCAGCTTTAAATTGCCGTATGACTTTAGTGGAAATCAATACATATTTCCCAGAGATATAGGAAACGTCTCGAATATCGCGGTTGTAAGATAATAGCGCGATACAACTAGCAAACAGATTTGCGCGACTTTCAAACAAATGGAAAGGGCGATTGAATATTTGTTCTGGTCTCACGGACCAAACATTGTACAAGTGGAGAGTTAATTATATTTATTGATGTTTGTGTTAAGTACTTATCAAGCACTTAATTATATTCATTAATAATATATATTAGGTATTCGCGTCAGATATTTAATTATGAAATACTTAATGATATTACTTAATGAACCTTTTCAGTGATATGCTCGGAAAACTTTCACGCAGTAAAATATTAACTCAGGTAAAAAAGTTTCCGGACATTTTTCTACTTGGGAAATTCCTTTTGATCTGCTTAAATCATTGTACTTTTTTGCCCGTTCATAACAAATACGAATGAAAATTAGATATATTTCGTATCATATTTTTTATTTTATATTAAGACTCTTTGAAAAAAATATCAGTAAAGATAAAAATCTAGACGCTCTTATTTATATAAAATAATTATATAGCTCTTATTTATATAAAAATCCCTACTTTATGGGGGAACCGTGCAGGTATTTTAATTCTTCAGGGCACAAAAGTTTTATCATGAGATCACCTAGTAGAACCAAATCATAGCTTCAGGCACAGTGATCTCTATAGTGATGCACTCTATTTGTTTTTTTCTTTTTTTTTTGTTAGTATTCGATTCAGTTTGCGCGTTTGTTCTGTAGAAATAGGAAAAATTAATTTCAACAGGAATGAACTGTTGTGTCATTCTAGACATGTAAATATTTTATTGGAATTAAAATTTTAAAGGTCCTGTGCTTCAAAGAGTTAAGGTTGCGTTCTTCACTGTATTGAAAATCCATAGTTCATGTCACGTACACCATAGATTTTCAATACTAGCAGCAAATCACGCAGCCTGAATCACCGCTGAAGAGGTCAGTGAAGTTATATTTCTGTGCGCGAATGACTTTCTCCGCGATCGCCGCGGAGACTTACTTGAGACTTGTGTTCCGGGGTGGACGGTGGATTCGGTGTGTTCGGCAGCGAACCCCCCGTAGGGGTACAGTGCCGCAGTCGCGCCAGGGCCGTGCGAAGCCCCTCCGTCACGAGGCCCTTTTATTCCTCCCGATACCTCCTCTCCTTCAACGCCCCCGCCTCCGCGATGCAGCGCTCGGCGCGTTCCTTTCCGTTCGCCGGATTCACCTCGCCGCGGTCCCACACGACGAAGGGCGCTCGCGCGACCACGAGGGTGCACGGAGGGTGGGTCCACCGTTCGCCGCTCGCCACGGGGATGATCAGCCGCGGAGAAGCGGTGAGACTCGCCGATCCGCCGGATCTACCTCGTGCCGTTTGTGCCCCGCGTCGCTTATCAACCACCACATTCACCATCTCACGCCGCCTCCACCCTGGCGAGACCTCAGGTCTTTTGCACCTTCTGCTTCTTCTTCTTCTTCTCCTCCTTCTCCTCCTCCTCCTCCTCCTCCTCCTCCTCCTCTCC